TGAACTCTCTACAAGTCTTCATGCTTCACGGAGATACAATCGATCAAATCAGGGCCCACGTAATAAATTTCGTGCCCGAAGCAGGAGTCGATCTCGTCACAATACTCGAACGCAGTACAAAGAACCCACAAGTGGCATATGTTTTTATCATATGAATTTTGGCGCTCAAGCTCGCAAGTGTGCCCCTCCATGCACTTTTGAACAAGCGGGAAACTAAATGGGCGGTCTTCTGCTGGCCAACAGAATGTCCGCCACATCGACAGAATAGTACTGGCTGATCGTTCAACTCAGTTATGTTTTCTAGTAGATACTGGAGCTGACATATCAGTGCTCCCGAGAACTAAAACAAATGCTCACCAACTTAATAAACTTGTACTGTATGCAGCCAATGGTACCCAAATTGCAACCTACGGCACCAAACTATTGACACTTGATTTAAACTTGCGCCGGACTTTCAACTGGCCTTTTATTATTGCGGATGTAACTCAAGCAATTATTGGTGTCGACTTCTTGACACATTTCCACCTTCTAGTGGATGTCAAGAATAATTGCTTAATTGATGCTACAACTCAGCTGACATCACAGGGCCAAGCTTCTCACATATCGAACGTACCTACCAACATAAGTGTTGTATCGGGCAACAGCACACGGTTTCATCGGTTATTAGCAGAATTCCCTGACATTTTAAACCCATCCAAATCAGGGCAGCATACTCATCAGCCAGAAGTGTATCATCACATTGAAACACATGGCCCACCTGTATTTTCCAAGCCTCGTCGTCTTTTCTCCAGAGATGCTAAAAGCTGCTCGCAAAGAATTTGAATTCATGCTAGCACAGGGAACCATTCGCCCATCTAAAAGTCCATGGGCCAGTCCACTTCACATGGTTAAAAAGTCTAATGGTGACTGGCGGCCTTGTGGAGATTATCGTCGACTTAATGCCGTCACAGTCCCTGACAGATATCCAGTCCCACATATCCAAGACTGTACCCATCTTTTTCATGGAACAAATATATTTTCTACCCTCGATCTTGCCAGAGCATATCATCAGATCCCAGTGCATGCTGAAGATGTGCCCAAGATCGCAGTGACTACACCATGTGGTCTCTTTGAGTACTTATATATGCCATTTGGCCTTCACAATGCTGGCCAAACATTTCAGCGTTTCATACACCAAGTACTGTCTGATTTCTGCATCCCATATTTTGATGATATCCTGGTTGCATCTACAAATGCGGAAGAACATTTTCAGCATCTGCGTCAGATTTTCACTCGCCTTAAAGATCATGGATTAAAACTAAATCCATCCAAATGTGTACTTGGTCAACCCTCAGTTTCCTTTCTTGGATGTCTTATCACCCAGAAGAGCCAAACCTTTACCGGAAAGAGTCAAAGCAATTAACGACCTACCTCAGCCCAAAACCATCTCTGAACTGAAGCGTTTTCTAGCAATGTTAAATTTCTACCGACGCTTTCTGCCAAATGCCGCAAAAACACAAGCCTGCCTACATGAGTTTCTGAAGAATAGCAAAAAAAAAAAAAAGATCAACGAGCTGTCCCTTGGACTGAATCTGCATCTGCAGCATTCGTGCAATGCAAACACGATCTGGCAAATGCAGCCACACTTTCTTATCACTCACCTAGTGATCAGCTCTCTATAATGGTAGATGCATCTGACACGGCCATAGGAGCAGTGCTTCAAGCCCATACCACTAAAGGACTTTTGCCAATGGCATTCTTCTCCAGAAAACTTACTACTGCAGAAAGGAAATACAGCACATATGACAGGGAGCTACTTGCTGTGTACTGTGCTGTTAAATACTTCCGGCACAACTTGGAAGGACACATTCATCATTTTCACCGATCATCGACCATTAACCTTCGCTTTTAGAAAAAACTCTGACTCATGTTCTCCTCGTCAGCTTCGACATCTGGATTTCATCGCCCAGTTTAGTACAGATATCAGATATGTCTCTGGTACTGATAATTGTGTCGCTGATGCCTTGTCTCGGGTAAACAATATCAACCTCACTACCCCAGATTTCTCTGAAATTGCAAAAGCTGAATTGCATGATGAGGAACTCAAGAACCTAATCTCAAAATCCACAAACCTCCCTTCAGTTACAACCGCTGCACATTGATCCAACGCTTAAAATTTACTGTGACATAGAGAACAATAGAATACGTCCCTATATTCCTGTCAATTTTAGACGTGAAGTGTTTAATGCCTTGCACAATTTGGCACATCCTGGAATCCGTGCCACCAAAAAGCTGATCGCAGACAGATTTGTCTGGCCAGCAATGAATCAAGACATCACAGAATGGACTCGTTCATGTATTAGATGTCAACGGTGTAAAGTATCCCGTCACACTCACAGCCCCCATTCCAACAATTTAACCTTCCAGCAAGACGCTTTGATCATGTGCACTTAGACTTGGTTGGCCCATTGCCTCCTTCAAATGGTTACACTTACCTCCTCACTTGTATTGATCGGTACACAAGATGGCCTGAAGCCATTCCTATTGAAAATATATCCGCTGAAACTGTAGCTCGAGCATTCATCTCCCAGTGGCTTTCAAGATTTGGCATGCCTACCACCATCACCACTGACCAAGGCCGACAATTTCAATGTCACTTGTTCGCATCCCTCACCTCTCTTCTTGGCATTCGCCATATTCGCACAACACCATACCATCCATCTGGAAATGGGATGGTGGAACGCTTTCACCGATCTCTCAAACAAGGTCTGAAGTGCCACAGTAGCACACTGGACAGAAGAAGCCTTACCCCTAGTCTTGCTTGGTCTTCGCACAGCATTCAAAAAGACATTGGTAGCACTTGTGCTGAAATGTTACATGGTGCAACCCTCCGTCTGCCAGGTGAATTCTTTCACCCAGAATCTACTCCAGTTATCGACCCTCCAACATTCCTTCAACGTTTACGTGAGACCATGAGCAATATCTCGCCAACCCCAGCATCTTCGCATAACCAGCCAAGCTATTTTGTACATCCTGCGCTTGAGACATCTTCGCACGTATTCGTGCGCAACGATGCAATTAAGCCAACTTTAACACCTTCATATGATGGTCCATTCAAAGTTGTCAAACGAACACCGAAACATTTCACCATCATCTGCAATGGTAAACAATCAGTGATTGGAATCGATCATCTCAAACCAGCATTTCTAATGCAAGATCCAACAACTTCCTCATCAACATCACTCCCGGAAGAAAGCTTACATCCCGTTAAAGAGCAACCTAAAACTACCAGATCTGGAAGAAAGGTTAAATTTAACCCAAAGTACTTATAACGTACCGATGGTACTTGGAGGGGAGTACTGTGGCGTTCCGACAGATACTTCAACTTCTATTCATGAGATGGCACCACGTGTAAAATCCAGTTCTTAATCGGAGCAGCAAAGAGACGTCATTACTCACTCAGACTTCTGGTGAGACAACTGTACGCGACGGTAGCATGAACTGTGTTCCGAGCTCTGTGTTGATCTCTGCAATGTAATTTAAATTGTAATTTAGTACTTAATATATTCTTTTGTTATAGGAGATTGTCTACTCTTATTTTCTTTAATTATATCATGCATTAAGCATACGACCACCAAATAGGTAACATGTACGGTATAAAATGTTCAAGATTATTGAATTGCCTTCCCTGTGAGAGGTATGATCAGTGATATGTTTTTGTCGGCAAGAAACATGTCTGCTGCATTCACAAGCAGATTTGTGAAGTTTACGGAACTACTGCCATGAGTGAAGGTAAAGTGCGTAAGTGGGTCAGAGACTTCAAAGCTGGCTTTAACAACATTCATGATGAGTCCCGCTACGATCACCTATCTGTGATCACAGACGATATGGTGGCTTCTGTTGAAGCGAAAATTCTTGAGAACAGACACTTCACCATAAGCAATCTTTCAAATTTCCTGAAGTGTCTAGGTCAGTGCTGTACAAGGTTGTTTCTGAAAAGTTAATGTTAAGAAGCTGCACTACCGTTGGGTCTCTAAACTCCTAACGGAGGACCACAAAAACAAAAGATTTGAATGTCTCGTTATAATGAAGAATGTGATGGCGTGTTGACTCAGATTATAACTGGAAACCCAACATGAGTTTCACATGTTATGTCTGAATGGAAGCAACAGAGCATAGAGTGGAAACACACATACTCTCCTGTAAGGGTCAAGGTCAAACAGACTCTGTCCTAGTGCAAGATCATGGCGTCCGTGTTTTGGGATAGGTATGGTGTTTTATTGATCGACTTTATGCAACGTAGAACCACCATAATTGCACCGCCAAACCCTGCGAAAGCTATGCAGAGTGATTCAAAACAAAAGACATGGCATGTTGACAGAGGGAATTTTGCTACCCCATGAAAATGCACAGCCTCACACTGCAGCTCAGACCCGAGCTTTATTTGAATCTTTTGGCTGGAAGCTTTGGACCACACCCCCTACAGCCTAGACCTTGCACTGAGCGATTTTCATCTTTTCTGCTATCACAAACATCATCTTGATGGCAACCACTACATCGATGACGAAGAAATGAAAACAGCCATGACCTCTTGGTTATCGGAGCAGGCAGCAAGCTGCTATGAAGAGGGTATTCAAAATCTAGTTCTAAGGATGATAAGTGTTTATACAAACTTGTCAACTATGTTGAAAATTAGAGAAAGGTATGAGAATCTGAAAATAAATTTGGGTCTTGGAAATTTTCTTTCATTTGTTTTTTTAATTTTCAAACAGCCTTGTATATATAGAAGATGAAAGCATACATATTTTATTTTATCAAAAACCTTTTGACTCATGGCATTGCATTAAAGGTATAGAAAAGTCTTCCTGTGTTTGGCATTTCAATTATACAACACAATAGGGAAGGCAATAATGAAACATTCTTAAGTCAGAAGATGAGTTATACCTCAATTGATCAGACTCAGCATGTTATTAAATGGGACACACTTGATCTAAATAAGAAACATAAAGAAAAGTTCAATATTATTAAATTAAAATGAGCAGTTTATTCTACCTCTTAACATTTCTCTTGTTTGAGCAATATAAAATTTAACATTCATCCCAGTAAGAGTTTTCAGATTACATCATTTTCTGAAACTTCTAATTTGAAGTTAAATGCTAAACTTTAGGTGCTGTTATACAATTTTTTTAATAAAAAAATTTAAATTAATATAAAACATATCATACTGAATTAAACGGAAACAAAAATAATAAAAGAAAAAGTGTTACTATCTGGTAACATGATGCAATGCAGTCAAAGAAACTGTAATTTGTTTTCCTACGTACATAGTCAGAACAATAGAAAGAAACATTTACAGGTATACTTTGCAACCTGGAACGAGGAAAAGTTCTAAGTAATTAGAAATACATGCATGTCATGAATGCAAAATATATTTACAAGTTGGCATATAAAATTTATCTGAGAAATTATTGCACCAAAACTTACTGGTACCATTCTATGAATATTAGTGTGTTTAACTTAGAAATCTGAAAAACAGTTCAGTTATTGATAACATTAGCAAACAATCAAAAATCACTAGAGAAGAAAATATATAAATTTTATAGATTTGTAGCTACTTCAAACACTAAATTAACATCACATTCTTTAGACGAGAATTATTTCGGCATATAAACTATGTGAAATATCTGCTATCCTTATGATGTGTCAATTTTGTTTAAATTGCAAAATTAGGTCAATGCGACTAAGCTTGTATTTAGCTATACATAATTATACTTTGCTAATAATTATAAGGCCGTTGTTTTGTTTCAGATTTAATTATTACTATTATTTTAATAATGCAACTTTTAAAAAGAAAATAATTTTTAGTTTTGCACTTTTCAGGAGCTATAGATAGCACATACTAAATAATTTTACCTCATTTCATAAAGCCTGATGGTTAACCACTATCAAACCTTCCACATGCAGAAACTGTCCAAACACATTTTGCTATGTATAAGTCTCTCATATATTGAAAGCACAGTAATGAATAAATTCAAATTTAATATATTTTAGGTATTCATTAGGTGAATGAGATTTTATGGCCATATCCCCCCCTTTTAACTTAGGCAAATGCAGCTGAATACATTCATTACTTTACAACCTATTCGTTAGGAAAAAAATATGCAATGCGAATCTTGTCATTATGTGAACTTGAGAAAATTTTAGTATAACAAAATATACGAGATTTATTCCTTAAAATAAGTGCATTAAAAATTTATTTATGTACCCCTGCTATGAAATGCCCAGCAAAGGGATTGCTTTCGATTTTATCAAGGGCAAAAAAACTATTTAAAGGCAAATATGACACAAAAGCATCTAATATACCTTGCTGCTTAAGAAACTGAAAAGGACTCAATGAAACTGAATTTTGAAAATAAAAAAAATTATTACAATTTGACAACTAAATTAAGACAATTTGCTCCACTAAAAGCCAGTCATAAAAGCATTTTCATTAATTATGGCAAAGAATATTAGTATGGTTGGTTTATTTGATAGTGGTAAAGTCCTTCAGGGCTATCTGTCTAAGGAATATGCCTTCATGGAAAACTTTCCAAAAGAAATCGTATACATGTTACATAAGGGGAGTACAACAAAAACGATATGCAGCTAGCCCATTCACTGAGATCTGATCCCCAGACCAAACCTACCAGTGTTTAGCGACTCTTACCGCTCAACTGCTGATATGAATGTGTAAATGTTATGAAGATTCCTGTTTTCTTTCTAGCTTTGTAATATGCATTTAACAAACAAAATAGAATAACATACAGTCATGTAATTTTAGTTTTCATTTAGAAACAATTATTCTTAACCAATGAAATGTGAATTTGACTGAATTTGTGTCGACATGCATTTTATTAGCTGTCTATTTGACCTTTCTACATCTGTGGAAGGAAAAAGACAGCAGCTGATTTGCTGCATACAAGCCCATAAATTAGAAATCCAGCCATGATGCAAATTTATGCCCATTTACTATTCCATAGGTTTAAAAAAAAAATAAATAAAAAAAAAAACTCAAAACAAAGCAAATATTTATACAAAGTGATAACAAAAAAGGCTCACCCTCGCACCTTGCGATAACAGTCCAAATTTAAACTCTATATTATTTATGACTCAGTGCTGGACAATCATCATCAAAACACCCTATTTGTTGTCAATGCTTCCTTTTCTACAACAGATATAGTAGAGATTGTGTTCTTTTTCTCCATAAGTTGTGCTAACAGCAGTATTGCTTAATTCATACAATAAATGAATACAGCTTAAACATGTCACCTGCTTTTATTGTTATTTTCAGCAGTTCAGAATGATATATGTGAATGCAAAATGCTATACAATATTTATACATACCAGTGAACATGCTAAGTCATCATGCATTACGCTGATGAAAACTAGTCTCACACAGCATTCATGTGTATGTATGTATGTGTGTGTACACATGCAGAATGAGAGAACAAATGTATGCATTAAAATGAAATGATGTTATGATTCAATGAAGCATTAAATTTTGAAGGGGGAGGAATATGTGAAACAGCTTAGGATGCGAAAAAATATGAAACAAAGATCTGATTCTAATTGTATATCTATACATTATCTCATTACACTTGATTTGTAATAAACATACTCTAAATTTAGATTGCAGCGTTTACTGCAAAAAAGTGATATTTGCTATATTTTAAGTTTTCATATTTTCATTTGGTAATTATTTACATATTTCACAATCTTATTAAAATATAAACTTTGTCATTTGCACAACCATTTACAACTGTAGTTGCGCCATAAGGAATTATTCTTTAATTTTAAAATTATACAAACAGAAGTCAATTTTTATATTCAGACACTACAAAAATAATGCACAAATAACATTTTCAAATTTATTGTAAAGTAACTTTCTTAAAACATTTACAAAGAATAAAAACACTTAAAAGCAGTTAATTACATACATTCATAAAAATGTCACAAAAAGTGCATTTTAATGAGACAATTATTTCATGTGTACAGGTATGGAACTTTAATTTAAAATGCAAAGCAATATTTAAAAATAGATGGATTATAGTTGAAACATAACACTATGCACAATCATTTGCACTGTCTAACACTGAACATTTTCCCATCTATTTGTACTGCCGAAACAATATTCCAAAATGACAGATTGAAAATTCATGTTCATTTAGAAAGAATGAAACAATAATGCAATATAACTTTTAGTGTTGGAATATTTCAAAATGCATTTGAAAAGCAGACAATTAATAGTAATGTAATGGAACACTTTAAACACCTTATTTGAACCCAAACAAAACTTGAACGAACTACAAATATATTAATAAATTTTACAGAATATTTTATAGAAATTTAATAAAACATTTACAATATCTTATTTTAGCCAAAATAAAACTTGAACCAAATACTAAGTTATAAATCTAATTTGAAATATATTCAAAGCACTAAAAATAATTTACATCTGTTAGAATATATTTCCCTTAGTTCCTATATAATAAACTGAATGAATGATTTATTGCTCATATAGCCTTTACTGGGATAGTTATTTGAATAAAAATCTTTGCTCTTTTAGAATTATGATATTTTCAGTTTGTTTCTTGAACAGAGACTTAAATATTACCACTATTAGCTACCTGTCTGTTCCACGGTTAAAATATCTGTTTAATAATATTTTAATTTACTTCTTGAAAACAAGTTGCACTTTGTGAAAAATTAAGTTTGTTTACTGCTTGTAGTATCAGTATTCATATTTATTTTCTATACATCTGCAGTAAACAATCTCAACTTTTATCAATACATTACAATGCACACTTCATGTGATTTTCAAAATTTTCAGTTTAACTAGTGAAGACTAAGCATTATAAAGAGAAATCTATAGATAACAAGATCTTTAATAGAAAAACAAGTAAAAGATAAAAACAACCCTAATCCAATTCAGAGAAAACATATCACTGACTCACAATACCATAATGGTTTGTTTCAACGTTGTGGTTTCATAACATTGCATTCAAAGTTTTTGAGTCTGCTAATCTAAAAGAACTGAATTTAAAAAATATTGCACCATGACTTCTTGTTAACATCATTGGGATCAGCCGCTGCAAGTCTACGTCTGGTAACTTCAGCTTGTCGTGATGCATCTGTTGCATTCTCATTAAGTCGAATACCAAGAGGATCAGTTTCAGTTACATAAAATGTTTCTTGACTAAATAAATAGAAAAAGGAAAAAAAATATGATTTATGGCAAGTAATATATAGATCAGCGAAAATACATGTCGAAATTATTTATCAATAAGAAACAATGATTTTTAATGTCAGATGCTAATTCTTTTATTTTCAAATTATTTTCAGTTAGAAAACTTTCTAAAAATGGTAAAAAGCTTAAAATATTATTATCCAATTGCTTGATTATTATTAGCGAGGTTTTATTTATTTATTTATTTATTTTTATTGTATTTTTTTATTACAAATTAACACTTTGTCCTGTCCAAAATTAATTCACCTAACTTTCCAAAAATAACAGATAAATATGCTAAATTTGCCAACCATAATTCACTAAATAAACAGTTCTGCAATTCAAATTTTGAATTACGAAGGAAAATTTAAATTTCTGATATAAGTTCAAAAAGGTGATTTAGAACTTTGCCTCTGGTTAAAAACGTTACTTCAGAATGTAACAAAAGTGCTTCATGTTCATAACCCATCTCTTGGCATAAAATCATAAATATTCTTGAATTTAAGGTTCGGCTTTTAATAAAATTAACAATTTTCACAGCTTGATTAAAAACGATTTTCAGGTTTTCGGGGATTGCTTTAGCTGCTAAAGCTTCACAGAGCAATGAGTAAATTTAGTTTCAGGAGATACTTTCTTTTTTTTTTTTTTTTTTTTTTTTTTTTTTTTGAGAAATAACACCCTCCATCACTGTGTACGGTAATGCACTTATTCCAAGGAATATCAATATCTGACATAAAATTGTCAATTATTTTCAATGAAAATGTCATTTGCAATTGCTCTATCATGAAGATATTCACAAAATAAATACTCTTCAGCAATTTGCTTATCTTCTTCGAAACATATGTAAACTAATAATTAAATAAAGTTCATTACATTAGTACGTTCATCCAGTTCCAATGCACAATACTCACCATGTTTTATTTTTTAATTTTAATTTAATTTTATTTATTTATTTATTTATTTAATAATTGTCTCTTTTATGGAATTTGCCATTTCATGAATTCGTTGACTTACTATTACTATTTGATAATGGAATATTATTAAGTTCATTAGTCATGTGGTGTCCATATCAGATTTTTTTTCCTGTTCTAATAATGTCAATTAAAAGATAAATTAATAATTTGAATTTTTTTTTTTTTTTTTTTTTTTTTTTTTAATTTTTTTTTTGATTTCCTTTTCTGATTTATTTAGCCACTTTTTCGTACAATAATATTAAAACCGTATTTTTGGCTGCTGGTATAGGTTTTCTCCAGTAGTGTAAGCCTGCCTAGTCTTGGTAATTCTTAGCACTTACTAAGTAACTATCTTCCAAAGCTTTTTCACTTTTACTTGTTTACTATTTTTGAACTCCGCTAATTTCTTCAAATATTCTTCAGATTTACCTTTTGGCATGCTTAGATTCAAGATGTCTTTTAAGAAATAATGGTTTCATACTTTGATTGGGCAACAATACATCGCAAACAATACACTGAGGTTGAGGGTTCATTTCATCTCCTTTCCAAGTAAACCCAAATGATAAATAACTTTCACTATATTTTCTATACACAATTTTTCTTTTCTTTTCAATATTTTTGGTGCTAGTATATTGTATTAGATTCCATCACCTGTGAATCATCACTTTTCTGCTTAGTCAATACTATCCATTTTTCCATTTTGAAAAATCTAAGTTTGTTTTATTATTTTTTCACAAATATTTTAATGCCTAATATATTACAAGTTCTTCAAAAACAAACGACAGTATTTTCAAATTGCATAGAAAAGTAAGGAATACAAACATCAGGAAGACAAAATACCTGCTGTTACAGACAGCAAATTAACTCAAAATTATTCTACTAGAAAGTAAAGCAATATGAGCCTACAGATGGTGGCAACATAAAGTGTAGACATGCTGATAAATCAATCAACTCTAAAAGAATAAATGATAATTACTCTAGAAGAATAAACTTTTTATAGGAACTTATTGTTATTTCCTATTAAATACAACATCCATTTCTATAACCCCTTTTAAAAATATCATTTATGACAAATTTTGTTATATCTATGGGTAAAAAAATATTTGTGAAAATAAAAACAGATTATTTTGCTAAAGTCTATGAGCAGTTATTGACCTTGAACAAAGCTCAGATCACCTAAATTTATGAGTGTTAGGGAAAAAAACTCAAACAGGATGTTGGGTTATTTAATTTTTGAGTTTAATACTTAAAATTGCTTTGTTTCTTTTCGTACCACCAGTTGAGAATCGCTGATATAGACTATTTCATTAAAGTAAAATATGCTAAAGACAAAGCACAAATTATTTTGTTGTACATTAAATGTCATTTTTCTGGTAATTAAATTATAATATTTAAGAAAAAAGTATTAAGTCAAATTGAAACAATAATTATAATATATAATTTTTCACATTTACAGTGCACTGCATTAATATTTTGCAAATTAATACACTACAGAAAAAAACATATTTTCATTTATTAGAAAGGGTAGTCTTCCCAGTTTGACTTGATGTGAAGCTCTGTCAGACTTGAATTTAAAACTATAAATTCTAATTTTTTAAACTATTTCATCCAACATTATTAAAAAAAGTTCACATCCTTTGCAGAAAAATTTTAACAAAACATACAAGTATTCAAGAAAGCAAATTACTAGACAATATAAACATAAAATGAAATTTTAAATCTTCGTCCAAAATTAATTCTTTTCTTAAATATTTCAGATCCCATGATCTGTCAGATAATACTTTGAATATGCCATTCAACTATAGGAACTCATCAAGCAATTTTACGTTTATTAAACACATGAAAGGTTCAAAATGAAATGAATCCTTTAAACACAGAAGACTCAAATAAAGGTGTATCACAGAAAACATACATACGCCAAATGAACAATCCCAGGTTCTAAGCCATATGACACATATGAAAGCTCTTGAAGCTGAGCATTCAGCTCAACAAAGCAGAAACACATACTGAGCTACATGCATCAAAGCACGCTAAAAATTTAGGTTGAAACCAGAGTTTGAATACAGAGAGTGCATGAACTACCTGTACACAGAGCTATGCCCGGATATTTTTTTACCATGCATTCCTATATATAGTCAAAATTAACTATTTTTGTACATTATCATATTTATCAAAGGTAATTATTTTAAATCATAATATTCAAACTTTTATAATATTTTTAATCATAGCTTTACATATTCAGAAAAATGATACATGTAATGATGAATGTTAAAGTTTTTAAATTAAACATAAAAAAAAATGAGACAAACAAAATAAATGTAGAATTTATATCACACATTAAAAATGCATTTATGATAAGTAACAAATAGCACTGAAAGAGTAAAAATTAGCAAGGCAAACAATATTTTACTTACTTTTTATTTTATTATTTTTTAATTTAATGTTTCTTGATTTTTGCAAAGCAAAGTCCCCAACACAAGGTTTCTCTTAACTTTTTTTTTTTTTTTTTTTGGTTTTTTTTTTTCAAAATTATTTGATTACTTAAAGCTTTATAGATAGAATAGCCTCATTTTTTTAATAATCTTAAGTGTATTACAGCTTCTGTCTCCAGTAATAGTTTGTGGTTGTTAAGGTATTTTTAATGAAGCTTAACTCCCATACAACTGAACTAAGCTGTATTCGTGAATTATTTTTGAAAAATTTAACCTTGAAGCAACTTTACTGTCCAGAAACAACTGTTTTTTTAAATTAGACATCTCTGATGAAATTTTTGAAGCATTTAAATCATTTGGAATTAAAATATTGTTAATCTATAAGCTGCTTCTTATATATTATACTAATATAAAATTACTTCTTTTATATTATATATTATTTTATATTAGCTGCTTATTTTATATTACCTGAATCTAATTTTATTAATTTCTATCAGTTAGAAAATTCAAATCTCACTTAATTCACCTCCAGTTTTGCTCATGAGATTACGATAATTATAATGTCTGAAATGAAAAAAATATTTTCTGCTAAATAAATTCTCTGATTAAGCTAATTCTTCACATTTCTCAAGAATATTTTCAGAAATAGTTTCTCTCATCTGCTATAAATAAAACGATTATCCTAGTGTTATATATATATATATATATTTTTTTTTTTACTTAAATAAGATAAAGCCCAAGGTCAAAAGTGAAAAGGTCTGTGTATTCGGAAACTGAGACATAGAGAGCATATGTCAAGTCTAAACATCTGAGCTCACAGGGAGACCAGAGAGCAGGGGAAAAGCCAAGTCATTGCTTTCGAATGCTGAACCCCTACGAGGTGCTCTTTTTCCTGAGTGTGAGAATCTTTTTTCAAGGTTAGTAAACTTAAGGTAGCAAAAATCTAGAAACATTAAATTAAAAAATAATAAAATAAAAAGTAAGTAAAATATTGTTTGCCTTGCTAATATTTTTAGTTTTGTTTTAATGCTGTGTTATATTCACTTCTGTTTCATACCATTAAACAGTTTATCTTCAATACTAATTGTAAAATAAAAAGTTTATTTTCGGAGTTTGTCTGTAGAAGAATTTTTTCATCTATTTGTGCCAAACCAACTTTACTAACAAAAACTTACAAAATAAAAAATTATAAAAATGTGTGTATGTGTGTATAAATATAAATGTTACCGGCAAAGTATGAAACGTCGGCATTGTACACAATGCCAGACGTTTTTAGGCAAAGTATAAAATATGAGAATTATTACATACTTTCCCTAGGCTTTGTATATAATACCTAGGCATTCTATAGAATGACAAATGATCTTTAGGCAAAGTACGAAAAAAGGTTGTGATAAGGCTATTATTTAAAAGACGCTTTTTCCTGAAAAATACAAATGTTATTTTGAAAAATTAATGAAAGAGTGCCATTAAAACTGTTATTCAAAATAGTATGTAAAAAAATAGTGAGATGATCTTGATACAACATAATAAATTTGAATTTTCCATCTGGCTGAGATGGGGAATCAGTAATATCTACTCAACAATG